GGATGCTGGGGCCAGACACCGCCTCACCTGTAAATGGGCCCGAACTGCTGGAACTTGCGAGCCATGATGTGATGGACATTGTGCAAGCCGCCCTCCTGCCAGAAGCGGTAGAGGTTGAGCCAGCCGGCTCGCCAGTCACCGGGCAGCTGGTTGAAGGGTCGAGGAGTTGGTGGGATGGGGGTGGCAGCCCCCCCAGCCCAGCGACATGCCCCAGCTCGGGCAGGGGGACATCCCCGCAAAGCGCCTGGCTTGGATGCAGCCCGGGCGAGCATGGGAGCGGGCAGTGGGAGAGGGAGGTGAGGGTGGCCTCGCTCTTATCCCCCAGCTGGCCTCGCTCAAGGCGAGAGGCTCTCTCCCGCCTCCTGATGAGTCACGGCCGCCCCAGGGACGGGGACAGGCGCAGGGCGTTTCGTCCCAGCAAAAAAGCAGATATTGGGGCATGGGGCATCCAAAAGGGGTTTGCAGAGCATCAGCTCCTCCCAGCCTTGCTGTAGCAAGGTTTGCCAAGTGATGCACAGGTCCTGAGCAGCAAAGCGTGACAAGGGATGATGCTAGCAGGTGGCCTGTGCCACCCCAATACAAGTGGGTGCTGTTGCAAGCACTCAAAATGAAAAGCCAGCTGCCAGGGGGAGAAATGTTTCATCTGCAAAATAAAAGATAAAAATGATCTAGGGGACAAAGTAGTGTGGGTTAGACTTAATAAAGCTCAGTCCCGATGGGCCACTGCAGGGGGGGGAACAGCCGTGGGGACTGCCTGGCCATCGCCAGGGGTGTCTCACCTCCACCCTCCCCAGGGCAGAGGGTCCTGGGGTTCGCAGGTCCCCCCTTTCTCGGGCTCTCCTGCCCCCAAGCATCAGCTGCACGAACCCCAAACACACCCCCCTTGCCAGGAGGGAGCGTCTTTTTGGGGTGTCATGGACCCCACGGAGCTGGGGACAAAGGCTCCCACCCCCGAAGTGTGGTGGCAGACACCTTCCCGTCCTCAGGCCCAGTAACACCCACTCAGGACTGGTTATCAATGGGGTGTGCAAGAGTTAATGGGGAGGAGGGTGCTGGGGGAAGTCCACGGGCCTTTCTGGAGCATCCCTTTGGGGTGTCCCTGGAGTTGGTCTTGAGGATCTCTGGGGTGTCCCTGGAGTGTCAGGATTCCAGGCAGGTCCCTGGTGTCCCTGGACTTTCCTTGGGGTGACCCGGAGGTCCCTGGCAGACGACCTCTCACGGCCTTGAAGGCCTGGAGGAGAAGGAGGAGGAGCTGAAGGAGGGCTCTGTTGGGATTATTCGGGTTTTAAACCTGCGGCTGAGGATGCGGGGCCGGGCTCTGCGGCGGCTGCGAGGACGGCGACGGGCACCGGGGGGCGCGTCTGCCCCGTGCGCTGCCACCGGCGCCGGGGACAGCCACCGGCCCGGCCCCCCCCGGAACGGGCTGTGTCCCCTCCCGGGCATCCGCCTGTCCACTCCTAGAGCAGGGCTCTGTCCCCTCCTCCCCATGCTTCCTGTCCCCTCCCAGGGCAGGGCTCTATCCCCTCCTGTCGCAGCCACCCATCACTCATCCCAGCTGCCACTATCAGCGCAAAGACACCCGCCCTGGGTGGTGTCACCCCCCAGCTCGGTGATCACCCCAGAGCAGCCCCATACCCCGCGGACACGGTGGCACAGTGTCACCCCACTGTCCTTCACCCCTGGTGCTGTCGCTGTCCTGGGTGGGACCTGCTGTGTCACAGGAACGGGGTCAGTCTGGACCAGTTTGGCCACCTTAGTGCTTGTAAAAACACAGGTGTGGGCCCAAGGGACACGGAGAGACACACGGCCACGGCTCTG